GCGCAGCCTCTCTACCTGGTTAAATTCCTCTCCTACATCGGCGTAGATATCTATGTGGTCCACGCCGTCCGCCATATTCCGCCTCTCCTCCTTTCCCCTCCCCCACCGCTGCCGCCGCCGCCGCCGCCGCCGCCAACCCCGCCCGGCTCCACAGCTGCCGCAGTCAGATACCGCCGGAGAGGAGGGGGAGGTTGAGTTGGGGAGGTCGTGCGTCACTTCCGGAAGCAAACAAGGGGGGTTTCCGGCGAGTAGACTTTTTCCGCCTCACGGTTGCCTTTCCCCCCCCCAGAGCTTGTTGCGCGGCCACGCCCACCGGTAGGGCGACACAGGCGGTTTCATCGCGCTCTCCTGTTGCGGAGGAGCAGCGACGGATAGACGGCCACTTGGCAGGATTTAAGGTCCTGGCATCGCCCGGTAGCTTTCTGCCCCTTCTGCCATTTGGTGCCTCTGGCAAGAGGTTGAAAGCTCCCAAGGGAACCCGACTCCCAGAGTTCCACCAGTTGCGCTGTGGAGCGCAGGACAAACCCTCCTCCTCTTTAGGCAGAGTGGAGGTGTCTCCTCAGACAGGAGATGTGGGAGGACAGGCCCCCCAAACTAGCTTCTTTCTCTTCAGGTCTGCTGGCGGAGGGTGTCGCAAAGACTGTATTTAAGAGGACGACCCAAGATTGATGGGCAGGATTATTACAGATTTTGCCTACCTACAGGAGTGTTTTCACCTCTCTGTATTTAATGGGATAAATCCAGAATGATTCTTTTATTCAGTATATGATACTGTTAAGCTGACTATGACGATTTGGTTGGATAAAACTGATCAAACATAAAAGTAATTGGGCAAAGAGAGAAACAAATACAGTGGTGCCTCGACTTACAAACTTAATTAGTTCTGGAACTCCGGTTATAACCCTTGAAATAGTTGTAAGCTGAAGCACCATTTCCCATTGAAATGCAATTAATCTGTTCTGACCGAAGAAAAAAATCTCCCAAAAAACCCAAAACACTGCAACACCCATCGGAAGTGCGATTAATCCGTTCCAGCCGAAGGGAGGAGAAAGCAAAAAGCAAGCAAACCATGCAAGACCCATCAGAAATTTTTAAAAATGCAAATGCCATGCAAGTCCCATCGGAAATGCAAAAAGAGCAAAGCAGAAAGCAAGCAAACCATGCAAGACCCATCGGAAATGCAAAAAACAACAACTTCAAAATCAAGCAACCCCCCCAAGACACATTGGAAAGACTTCAAGACCCATCACAGCACAGAAACATAACACCCCCAAGCCCAAAAACACGCTGCAAAACCCACCCAGAACAGTTTTTTAAAAGCAGAAAGCAGCACCTTACCAGGCAGTCCGAAGCCTCCTCCGATTGCACTCACTTTAACCATTGGGGTGAAAGAGCTACAAAGAACTTTTTCTGTTCATAACTGGAAGCTCCGACTGCAAGTCAAAGCAAAATTTTGTGGCAGGAGCTGGTTGTAAGTCAAAATGGTCATAAGTCGGGATGTTCGTTAAGTCGAGGCACCACTGTATCATTTCGGACAGATAACTTAAATACATAAAGCTTTTGAAGTCTTTCACTGATGTCTTCCTGTTATATAGTTTGAATATCATGTCATAGGCATATTATTTATCATTGTAAAAGAATATATTTTATACTTTTTGTTTTCAATTTTTCTGGGTGGAAAATGGCTTTGGAAAAAAAACAGAAAAAAGTGTCCCCGTCCCCCCCAATGTCCTATTTTTTTCCCCAGGTCTTCCCATCTCTAGTCTCTGCATTTTGAAAAAAAAGTAGTGTTTTTATATTGATACTATATAAAGTCAATATCCTTGCAAAACAGAGAAGAGTAAAAAAAAAAGGTTGCATATTAACAAAGCCGGAAGTTAATTTTTATTCATGAGGTGAGATGAGAAATGAATTATTAATATTTTCTAACAGTTACAGAACATGTTTCTGCTACAGACAGAATTTCACTATTACCCCTTTCCCTTCAAAATAAGACCTACCCCAAAAATAAGCTCCAGTTAAGTGAAACCCTGCCCTCCACCATTATGTAGCATTGTGCAGCAACCAGCAGATGACATGACTGTAAAATTAAACAAGAAAATCTGAAAATAAGCCCTAATCCATTTTTGGAGCAAAAATTAATAAAAGACCCTGTCTTATTTTCAGGAAAACACGATAGATGCTAGAAGGGCCTGGAATGGTTATTTCAAAGTCCTGTTTATGAGCCTCCTTGGGATAATCTAGTGAACTGCTATGGAAAGCCTAACAAAATGGATCTCGTGTCTGATCCAGCAGGATCACTGTTTCAGTTCTACAATGCCTATTACTGTGCTGCTAATTTGGATTGTTCTTGTGCTTGTATACTGGAGAAAAGCTCAACGGGAAACATCTACAGTATTCAATGTATAGAGTTGGAGGAGAGCTTTATAAGTACAATAGACAACCAGAAAGACCAATTGATGGTGCTAGATCAAATCAAGCCTGAACCCCTCTGGAAGCAAAAATGACTGAACTGAGGCTATTGTACTTTGGGCACATCATGAGAAGACAAGACTTACTGGAAAAGACAATAATGCTAGGAAAAGTTGAAGGTAGCAGGAAAAAAAGGAAGACTAAATATGAGATGGATTGACTCAATAAAGGAAGCTATGGGCTTGAGTTTGCAAGACCTCAGCTGGGCTAGTACTGTAATGAGGTCCCTGATTTCTAGGGTTGCAATAAATCAGAGGCAACTAGATGGCACATAACAACCACCAAACTACAGAACAATTACGGTATGTGTGGATTCATTCCTAAGTAATCCTTTTGAGTTTAATGGGATTTACTCTGCAGTACAACAAACACATTAAGGAAGGCAAACTTATTCTATTGCTAAACAAGGAGAAAGTGAGAATTTTGAAGCATAGTAAAAATGAACATATCCCCAATCAGTTCTTCAATCTTTAAGGTGCTACAGGAGTCTTTGTTTTGCAGATGTTTTCCTTGGGCCTCTGTAACACTTTCATATACTGTACTTTATCTTTTCTAGTTCCTTCACAGCTGACCTTCCACTCCGTCTGCTTTCTTGGCTGAAGGTTCCATTTGGACTGAAAACTAAACCAAGGAATAAAATAACAATTTCAGTCTCTTAATCATCTGCATCAAAGCTATATAAATTATTTTGTACACTTTTTTGCCAAAAAAACAGAATATGTTCACGCTGAGAAAGTCTTGCTTTAAATCCATTATAACAGCACAGTTCCATGGGTTTGTCAGTCACAGCCTTCCTTTATAGCATCATCAGTGATGCAGGCCAGAGCTAATGGAATGTGCAACCCAACAATACTTGGAGCCCTGCAGTTTACCCAGCCCTGCTATACAACCATATCTGCATTCCCTTAATAAGATTTGTACAGTGGTGCCTTGACTTATGAACATCCCAACATATGACCATTTTGAGTTATGATCAGCTCCTGCCACAAAATTTTGCTTTGACTTGCAGCTGGAGCTTCCAGTTACGAACAGAAAAAGGCAGGGGAAAAAGCCGGGACATTCAAATTGCTAGCCGTTGGTAGGTGAAGAGGCTACTTCTTTGTAGCTCTTTCACCCCAATGGTTAGAGTGAGTGCAATCGGAGGAGGCTTCGGACTACCTGGTAAGGTGTTGCTTTCTGCTTTTTAAAAACTGTTCTGGGTGGGTTTTGCAGCATGTTTTTGGGCTGGGGGGTTATGTTTCTGTGCTGTGATGGGTCTTGGGGGGTTTGTTTATTGGTATTTTTTCCCCATTTCCAATGGGTCTTGGGGGGTTTATTTGCTTTTTGGTTTTTTTCCTCCATTTCCGATGGGTCTTCTACAGTTCACTTGCTTTCTGCTTTGCTCTTTTTGCATTTCTGATGGGTCTTGCATGGTTTGCTTGCTGTAGCGTTCACCCTAAGTTATGTAATAAGAAATGCAATATTCATGAGCTATATGCTAACGTGGTTGAGGTGTTAAAATAGATGTTAGAAGGCGGAGCCTGAGAGGAGAAGTCAGAGAGTCAGAGGAGTCTGTGTTAGGAATCTGAGAGAGATAATTTGGGGATCTGAGGAGTGATTAGTCTGAGGAGTGATTAATAACCTGTGATATTTAGTATAGAAGATTAATATTGAGGCTTGGTGAACCTGAAAGAATATGCTTATGAATTATCCTAGAAAGCATTTGCAATCAATAAACCTATTTTATTAATAAGTCAGTACTGAATGGACCTTCGTCTTTGCTAAGTAAAATACGTTGATAAAGAGATCAACTGGTGGCAGCGTGTCAAGAGGTTTTGGTTTGCCTTTGTGAGTTCTGTGTTTGGGGAGACAAGCAGGGGCCATGAGGGTGAACTTCACACTTGCTTTCTGCTTTCTGCTTTGTTTTTGTTTTTTTCATTTCCGATGGGTCTTGCACACTTTGCTTCCTTGCCCCCCCCTTTCGCCGGAACGTTTCCGATGGATCTTGCAGTGATTTTTTTGCTGCTTTTTTTTCTTCAGCCGGAGTGGATTAATTGCATTTCAATGCATTTTAATGGGAAATGGTGCTTCGACGTATGACCATTTCGAGTTACGACCAGAGTTCCAGAACCAATTAAGTCCGTAAGTCGAGGCACCACTGTAGTTTCAAAACATCAGGTGGAATGGATTTTTTTAGCACTGTTAAATTGACATCCACTATTAGGCCACTAGATGTAGCTAAAACAAAATTGACTCAATTCTGCAGTTTCTTTTCCTTCAGTTGATTTTTATAAATAGTTTTTCTTTAAAGAAATATTTTACATTCAAAACAGAATTGGTATTTTGGTGACTGTTATGATCATGTCTTAGTTTTAAGCCAGAATCCTGTAACTTTGAGGTTTGTAGGTTGGTTTACAGTCAGAGCTTGGAAAAGTTACTTTTTTGCCCACAGCATCCTCTAGCAGTCTAGCTAACATAGCCAATGGCCATACTAGCTGGTGGAGCTACAATCTGGAACAGTAACTTTTGCTAGCTCCATTTGCAATGCATATATATCCCTTTTTATTTGAACAATGTGATTCAAAACAATAAAAGGGCCACAATTAAAAATATTGTCAATAAGAAGCATTACTGGAAGATACATATGCTTTAATTAAAATTCTTACAACCAGTTATGCTGTGAAGCTGCTAGCTTCGACTGAAACCTCTCCTTACATTCTCTAAAGTGAGTATAACTTGTTAGATACCATTAACTTTGGCTCTGTTGATTATAATGGG